TTTGACATCACTTTCACTTTCTTGTTGTCTTCTTGTCTTTCTCCTCCTAAATATAGAGAACCTTGCAAATTTTGGTAAATTCTTATCCAAAACTAACTGAAACAAAATTCTCATCAATGTGCACCAGCAGAATTCATTGAATTCAGCTATTTCCAGCATGGGGAAGACCATGGAGGGCTATCAGGCCTGTTAAAGAGGAAGAACCTGTTAGGAAGAAAAGAGGTGGCAATCTTAATGCAACCCCAAAACGAGGGAGGAAATGTTCTCAACTGGCAGAAAAGGTTGAATGAGCTTGACGCAGTACAGAAAGAGGGCTGCTTCATAAATTTTGCTGACGTTTCCTATGTGCTGAACTGGGAGCACTTGAGAGTATTTTCTCTTCTGTTATGTGGCATTATTAGTGCCTTTCCCTCTCCCTGATTTTTTGAGCCTAATTCAACATTACCAGCATGAATAAATATGCAGGGATGCAAACCCAGACTTTTAAGAGCTAAACACACAAAACCTTTTCCCTGAATGGTTGAATCTGAGTTTGGGTTTCTCCTGCATTCAATGTGTTGTTGTTGTGGGGGTTTAATTTCAAGTTCTTTTTGTCCCAAATGTTATGAATTGTGTGAAATCTGGTAAGCTCCTATTAAAACCAAACTGAAATTAAATTCTCCCAATTTTAGCTGCAGAGGTGAACTTTAGCTGCATTTTAGTAATGCAGAGGTGCACTTCCTCCTCCTCCTCCCTCTATTATTTCTATGCAACCCCTATAGCAACAGTTCTCTGGGTGATATACAAAAATTCTTTATAGGAGACTGATTGGAGGGAGTGACAGCACACCCAAGCAATGTTTACCTGTTATTGTGGCTGAGGGTGGGGGGGAGGGTGGAGCAGACAAGTGCACACAATTGTAAGCAGTGTGGTCAGAAGGAAATTAAACGCAGAATGTCCATGGGTGGATTGTCTTGCCTGATATAAGAACGTTTGCATGGTCAGACATTTCCCGTTGCCATTTTCTGTGTTTAATTTCCTTCTGGCCTCACCACTTACAGTTCTTCCCCCTGCATAAGTATTGCATATGAACATGAAGCTTTCCATAATGCTTTGTGTGTCTAATGAAATGGGCTACAGTCCATGAAAGTTTTGGCCAGAAAAAAAATTGTCTGTAGATAAGTTGTTGCAAAATTCTTCATTCTGCTGCAATAGACTAACTCAACTTCCATTCTGTCATTCTAAAAATTCTTGTTTCCAAGCTCAACATCTGTCTGTTAGCTTGTATAGATCCCTGGCTTTCTCCTTTTTTCATTTTGCCTCTGCATCCTTTCCATAAATTTGGCATAAAGAACTGGGGGGAAGGGCAACTAACTAGTGCTTTCACCCATATTTAACCAGTCAGTCAATGAACTGATTAAAATCTGCATGATTAATCAGCTTTATTTCAACAGGCAACACCCCAGGTACTGAGGCATTCTGCTCAAAGCCCTGTGTGCAACCAGAGACTACACAGTCTCTCTGGAAGAGAGGTGCACCAGTTTCCCCCTTTTAAAGAAGTTTTAAAAAGAAATGGAAGCAAAAAGACCCTGGATACTCATGCATCAGCTTTTCCTGTTTGCTTGCATCTTGGAAAACATCCTTCTGTTGCCTGCCAGAATCATGCCCAGTACAGGTGTGAGGTTGGGCTATTACATGCTAAATAGAGTGTACATGCACATGCAAAGACACATGAAGCAGAGAAGGCCAAAAGCAAACACAGTGCGCCTAACAATATCCAGCTCACTGAAAAGCAGGCCGGGAAAAGGAATGAAACCCACTTGGCAGAAGGCCTTCTCTCCCCCTTGCTCTCAGTCTCAAGGCAAATTCTCTGCACTGAACAGGGTGTTTATTTAGCCCACCTGCACTTCCTTATCTTTGTAGACCCTGGTGGGAGGACTTTGAAAGGCTCCTGCAAGACAAGAAATATACAGGTTCATACAATTTAAAATTAGGTACATTCTGTTTAAGAGGAAGTATCAGGCAGGCAAGTATTGCCACTGATGGAAGGTCTTTGCACCTAGTAATGACTGGAAATTGATTGGATCAGCTTTCCCCAACTTGCTACCATCCAGGCTACAAACCCAGTATCACCTCCATTCAACAATCCATCTACCCAGCTGTCTAGGAGTAGCAGGAATTGTGGTCTATTGGGTCTGGAGGGCACTCCTTTGGGGAAAGCTCTGACTGACCTAGATGGATGCAACAATGCCAGAAAATGGGCTGCTATTGTTTTTATGATAACCACAAATTTCAATAAAGGAAGGGCACAGAATTTGCAGATCAAGCCACTGAGCATCAAGATTCAAAAGTGAGTTTGGATTTACATTCTTATGATTATAACATTCTCAAATGATGGATGCTTAATCTTAAGGATTGTTGTTTTACAGATATTTGAAAAAAATACTTAAGCAGCTAGGATACCTGTGATTTGAAAAAGAAATCAGATTGATCACTAATGTAAATAAATGGAACAATGATCATGATGGGAAACCAATTGGTATCATGCCCATTTTACACATGGGAGAACTATGGTCACTGATTTATAGCCTACTAAAAGTTTACCAACATGGTTAAGCAAAGCTTCAAAATAAAAGTTCCAACAAGGCCATCCTCTGTGTTTTCTGCATTAAATGTAGGAGCATGAATTATTTCCAGTCCTAGAAACAGTATACTATATGTTACATTACAATATTTGAAGTAGCCATATCTGATTTAAGTGCTTCAGGAAGGGGCAGCTGAAAATTAAGAATAAATGTGGAAATATTAGTGGAGGATATGTACCAACCACAAGATTCAATCCAGCTTTTGATTCAATGATTTGGAAAGCAGTTCAGTTTGGCTTGGAATGGTTTGGAGACTTTCTACTTTGACTTTGGTCCAAATCTGCATCTCAGTTTGTAAATCCAAATCTTCATGCTTCTTATTGACTATCATTGGACATCAGTAAATAATTATAACTTTTTTGTTCATCAAAATTAGATGAAATTACTAGTATATTAGTCCATTGTAAGGGGATTATATCTGCAAAACATCAGACAAACAAGTACAATAGCTTCTTTCTGCTACATATACCTATTGAAGGGAATTGCCAATAATATTGAATTTATTGGCAGGCTTGGACAACATTTCAGGAATAGTTAGTCATTCTAAAGAGGTTAGAATGAATGGGTGCAAGGAGCCGAGTGTCAGATGAATGGGTGCAAGGAGATTTATTCAAGAGTAGACATTCCACTCTGGGGAGCTCCGAAAAAGGAATTTTTTAGGAGCCACCTGCCTCAACTCATTTGACAGGAATGCTCAGAAGAAGACCTCTTAAGATGACCTTAGGGTCTAGACACACACATATATAGGAAGAAACCATACTGCAGGTAAACAGGCCCCAAGACATTAAGAGCTTTGAGCATTCATACCCATGCTTTGAATTGGGCCAGGATATATACTGGAATCTAGCACCAATGTCAGAGTACTGGCCTTATGTTCATGTCAGTCCATCCTTATTCACAAAGTTGCTCCTCTGTTCTGGACCAGCTGAAATTTCTAGATGGTTTTCAAAGGCAGCCACACATATGATGCATTACAGTAATCCAGCTAAGGGGTTACCAGAGCATGGACAACTGCAACCAGGCTATCCCTGTCCAAATAAGCATGCAGTTGTTCCATCAGTCTAAGCTGAAAAAAGGCACTCTGTGTCACCGAGCCCAATTATGCTTCACATGGCAATACTGAATTTAAGAGCACCCCAAAACTGCAAACCTTTAAGGGGAGTGCAACCCCCTTCAGAACACATTGAATGTCACTCATCTGCACAGGTGAAACACTCATATTATTTTATTGATTGATTTGACTTGATTTGATTTCTATCCTGCCCCTGACATGTCTGGATTGAGTTACAATATATTGGCCTTCATCCAGTCTGTTACTGGACCCAGGCCCCAATTCTGAATATACTTGGCCCCACCTGTAACACATAATGGATCTGGAGCATTCAGTGGCAGAGGCAAAATGAAGTTCACATCCAGCATTTTAGGTCCCATGGATTCCACCACACTTATTCTTGAGAAAGAGAATTTACAAAGAGCACTGACCACTGGTTCAGTCCTGTGATATATTCCACTGAAGTCCTAGGATTGGAGAGCCCCTGGTAAAACCTTTTCTTTCAGGTAGAAGGCAGAGCTGCCGGCCACTAAAAGAAACCTCCTCCTTTGGTGTTTTCCTTAAATGGAGATCTTAGAGAAAAATGGATTGATTTTTGGAAACATGCTGTCTGTGTGCCTCCCTATGCTGATTCTTCAGAGTGCTCAGATTTGGATTTAGTCCACTTGAAAGGAAGAATATTTCCATGTGGGCATCTCTCCAAGTCTGCCCAATTCAATCTGGGATTTGACCAGATCCAAACCACACACCTAATAAATATGCTTGAAAGAAAGAATAATTCAGTCATTCTACAAGATGTAAGCATAAACCACCCTGCTTCATACCTATAAGCCCAGACAAAGTACAAGACAACTTTGTGCAACCTTTCTGAAGAAAGTTGACTCTTTCCAGCACTGAGTTTCTGGGCCATGATCCACCAGGACTTTCTGCTGCAAGAGGCACTGCCTGCAATCCCGTATGAACACACTGATCCAGGAGTAAGTTCCAGTGAACTTACAATCTGCTTCTGTTTAGATATGAATGGGGAGGGTTTAACCTCTTTCAGTTTGAGCTCTGAATTCCACTTTGGAGAAGCTTTCAGAGGCCACATTCCAGTGGTGGGCAGGGCTAAAGGCAAAAATTACCCATGCAGTGTAGCTAAAAGGACTTACTGCCAGTAACTGAGTCTTAGGTGAGGCATTTCAGCCAGGGACATGGCCGCCTGGGCTGCACTGGGACACATGATGTATAAGATTTCACAGTTCATTGGAAGCTGGTGACTCCAGTGTTAGTGAACCAGTGTAGGCGCTCTGTGCTTTGGTCTGAATGGTAAGGAGCTATCAGCAATGCTGAATGGCAACCTCTATCCCCTCCCAAGTAGGTTCAGCACCGTGGATAGCTCCTTCAAAGTTCCAGCTACTGCCTGGAATGGATTCTCTACCCCACTGACATTGGACCCAACAGCTTCTACTGGCAGAGTCCTATGCAAGGTGATTGTTTCCCAGGCCTTCACCCAAACTAGCCTTCTTGCTCCTTTGTACAATGCTATCGCTGACAGAAAGGACTTCCTGTGCTTTTTGATTAATTTTTGCTTTTGTTTCTCTAGGTTCAGAGTCCAAAATGAGAGAGGTTTGTGCGGGCTGCAACACCCCAATCTCCGACCGCTTCCTGCTGAGGGTAAATGAGCGTTCATGGCACGAAGGCTGCGTGAAGTGTGCTGCCTGCCTGCAACCTCTCTCTGGCACATGCTACTGTCGCAACAGACAGCTGTACTGCAAGCATGACTACGAAAAGTAAGTAGTGCTTTGCACCCTTTGTTTTCCTCCCTTTTGGCAAATGGATCTGTTGCTGCTTGTAGGGAAGTAAGCTGAGAGACAGAAAGCCTGGGTCCAGTGGCCTGAGTCCTGGGTCCACAGACTTGTCCCTCTAGGGCTAAATGCAGCAGATACAAACCACCCAATTCCTGTAGTTATGACGATGCTATCTTTAAATGACTTGATGCTCTGGTTGTTGTAGTTCTAACACTGGGGCTGGCCATACATGCCTATGGGCTTCGTACAGCCCCCAGTGTCTTGTGCTGCAGTTCCACTGCCCCCTGCTGCCCTTCCAAAGTGTGGTGATGACGATGCTGGTGATAGTGATGTATCTGTAATGGCTACAAAGTGCCCAAAAGGGTAGATTTTGGTTTTGGCCCATCTGGGGTCAACTTACTGCCGGTAATGGAGTCTTAGGTGGGGCATTTCAGCCAGGGACAATTGGAGCAGGGCAGTGGTAAAATGCCCATGGATCTCCAGAAGTTGTCTGCCCCTCTTCCTACAAAGTGGAAACGTAAAAGCAGCGGTGGGGATGCAGTGGTATAGGTGTGTGCATGGCAAAGATAAGGAACAGGGAAATGTCAAGTGTGGTTTCAGAAATGAAGTGCTACATGTGGCTTCATATTAAATCATTACATCCAGAATCTAAAGTTACCCAGCTGTACCACTGCTTGGGCAGGGAGGGCAGGTTGAGTTGTTTGATGATTGTCATCTATGTGTAAGTGGAAGATGAATCCAGATAACTTTGTGATCCAAGAGATGGTTTCAGCTACCAAAATTAGTGTGTGCCTACAGTTTGAGAGTGGCATGTGGCAGTAAGTGGCTGGTGTTGTCCAATGACCTGGTAGAACTTGGCAGGGTCTTTGGTCCCAATGGTTGTCATGTGCTTGATTGCTGTGATGTCACAGAGGGCCAGAGAAGCCTAGAGCTTGGCTGCTAATGAGGTAGCTGGGGGTACTTAGAAATGGAATTCTGGCACCAATGAGTATCTTTTATTCAATGTGGAATGTCTGTAGACTTACACAATGTAGGTGCAAAACAGTTGGGTAATTTTTGACTGATGTTATTTACAGAGTAACTGATGCTCAGGGAGAGGTGATCTTTTTTAATCTAAGAAAGATAGCCCCCAAAGGGAAGAAGGCTCCCCGTGAATGAACCAATCACCATGATACTAGATTGTTAACAGGTTGCTGAAATACATTTTGAGATGCGAGGTTAATGAAAACCATGTGTATTCAGCAATGAAATAAATCTAAATTCTGCAAACAGAAAAACCAATTTTGAGTAAAGAATACATCACATACACTAGTACCCTGCATTCTTTAGCTTATTTTGGCATCATTTATTTTGCTGCCTTCAATTTGTTTTTCAAGGGATTCTTGGGGGAGCGGGAGGGCAGTAGTATGGGAAGGACATGCTGACATTCACCAGTCCAGCAGAGCTAAAGGGAACATCTCTTTTCATTATCAAGGAACTAAAATAAAGATTAAGTAGCCTACACTCATGGAAAGACACCGAGTCTATTTTTGCACAGCAAAACCATGGACTGAGTCAAAAGATGCACTGCATGCACGAGGACACTGCAATGTCCCACTCTATTTCCCCCAGGAATTGCTTGACCTGCAATGCCTCCTGCACCATCCAGCTCCAAGCATCCCTCCAGCTAGGGGTTCAATCCACCTTATGCTCCTAACAAGCACCTTTTCTAAATGAGTACAATACACCCAAAGGAGAAGAAGAAAACATCCATTAACAGCATCTGCATAGCTTCTTGGGAGCCTGCTCAGGAGACCATCAAGGAAGTGGTCCAACACAGGTTTAAGGGCCATCTAGGAAAGCAAGGACTCCTTTGACCAGCAATCAAAGGCAGGAACTGGAATACACAGCACGATCAGCCTAACAGGACCTGGTACATTAAGAGTTGCCTACTTTACTTATAAGGTTGAACCTGAGCTCTAGCAAAGTCTGGCTCCCCAGAATTTCTTCTGCCACAGGTAATTACCATCTGATGCATTTTTCTCTGATGTAAATGCCTTGTGCAGGATTCAGAGCTGTGGGCTGCTTACTGAACTTTGTATGCCCCATCTCTACAACTGAGAAAAGATTATCCCTGCCTATCTGTTCCTCAAAGTAAAAGTACTGAACTTATAGGTAGATGTAAGCTGAAACAAAGATTTAGTCAACCATACCAACACCATTCTAAGTAAGTGAAGTTGTCACTAATTCTATCCAAAGGCATTGCAGCTGATACTTATGTGCCATGAAATAGGGCATTTGCCCATTTTTTAAATTAATGAACCTATCCTGCAAACATCTACCCATGATTTTGACATTATTCTTGCCTAGTGCAATAGCCTGGTTCATTTGTAGTTTTAATGTGGGAGCAGAGAATGTGTTGCAGTTTCTTGTCCTTCATATTCCCTCTGCATATTTGTCCCTCCTCAGGCAATTTACAGAGGAGAAGGGTACTTGGTGCTTCCATCACTCCATTGACCATGCTGACTGGGGCTCACTGAAGTTGTAATCCAAACATCGAATGCAGTTCTATTCACTAAATCAAAACAGTGGTGTAATTTTTAGGATCTGTACTTAATGATCTTGCAGGGAGACTTCTTACGCTTATCAGGAATTACTTAAGAGGGTAAAATGTATTACTTCCCTTATTTGAAAATGTGGGAAGCCAGCCAAGCTGCAGGTGGGGACCTTATTTCACCAAATGGGGCCCTGAACCTCTGCCCCAAATTCCTGCCTTGCACACACCACCAGCCCAAGATGATGCCAATAAGTGAGCATCATTACATTTGCTCACATTTATTCTTTCCTACCCTTACCTCTCCCTTCTCTTTTTTCCCTTCCTTCCCGTTCCTGTCATGCACAGACACAGTGCTGGGAGAGAGGGGGCCCCCACTAGAGTTGGAGCCCCAAATATTTCATCTGGACCCCACATCTCTGGGAGGCCATCCACCCTACCACCTTGCTGTACATGCACACAGTGTTGAAATAAAGGCCCAGGAGCCCTGATGCTCTCAGTTATGCCTGATCTCCCTGGATTAGCCAGCTTTTTATGCTATGCTATGCTATGCTATGCTATGCTATGCTATGCTATGCTATGCTATTTATTTAATCTCTATACCATCCTGCATTTTGTCCACATTCGCTTCTCCCCCTGTTGACATCCCTTTGGAATTTTTCTGCCTGTGCCTTTTTCCCCCTGAAATCAAATGCCTTCCTCTTTCTTGCCCATACATCTTTTTACAAATAGGATATCATTAGGAGACAAGAACTTTTAAAGGCACATGGGGGAGGGGGGGAGAGGCTTCACTGTATATATAAATTAGCATATGCAAATGTGTGCTTTATTTTGCCCTGAAAGTCTAAGCCTCAAATCTCTGTGTCCCATCCCTAGGCTTGAGAGACTGTGTGCTCCTGGGACTTAGGCCCTCTTCTGTTTACATTATCTTTCAAGCACTGTAGACTAATTACAACAAAGTGTTTTTTCTTGCCTTACTCCCTGCAAGAAGACCTTTTCCAACTGGTTTATACACTCAACCAGGGTGATATGAGAATTTCATTGCAATTTAGTTTTGATCAAGATTTATCAAGTTTGCACCTTCTGGCCCAATCACAAACTTGGATTTGTAGTTGAAATCTACATTTCTGAGCTTGCAATGTAATTTTTGGACCAAAAAAATTACATTTGCCAGCATGTGTACTTTTGAAAAGCACACATGGAAATATGCACCTTTTTAAAAGGTGTCCCAAAATAGCTTTAATGAATAAGAGAAGAATGGGTGCATCATCAAGCTGAATGTAGTTGATTCCACCATTCAGAAAAATATGCAGAAAAATAAGGATGGATTTTTATGCGAAGAGGAAAAAATAAAATTTTGCAATCTGATACAGACTCAAGCTTCAAGATGGACTTTGGGGGTCTTCTGCAAATCCGCCCAAATTTTGTTAATTCACACATCAGCTAGCATCAGCCAATATTGTAAATGGGCTTGCAAGCACTTTTCCAGCCATATTATTATATTGACTCCAAGTGGAAGTCTTTCAGATAACAATTTCAAAACAAATGGGAAGTGGGAAGCACCCACTACCCTGGCTGCCATTCCTTCAGTGCTTTAGCTGGAAAGAGCCTGTAGTGATTGCTCATCCTGAACATATTTTGGAATGATTAACCAGCACGCCTGCCCCATTTCATGACATTCTACTGCTGCGCCAAGCACCAAACCTGGACGTGCAAGGCTGAAGGAGACAAGGGGGGAGGTTGCTATGTCTCCCAACACCCAGGGCTTTGATCATGGCTGGGGAAATCAGAGGTGGGGAGCGGAAGCCCTGCTTGGTCCAACAAGCTGCACACACTCCCATCAACTACAGAGGAAGATCTCAGAGGTTACATACTTTTGGTTTTATGCTTCGAGGCTTCAACAACAGCACCGAAGCTTGGTCAGCAACATCAGCCATGAACTCTTGCCCTCACCAAAATCAGGCTTCGGGGTTGTTGGGCTAGAGTGGCCATCTGCCTTACTTCACAGAGGACAGGCCTCTTTTTGAAGGGCTGTCAGAGGACAGGCTTCTATTTGAAAACAGCCTCTATTTGAAGGGTGGTCCAGTCCAAGCCCAGTTTAAAGATGAATATAAGAACCTGGGAGAGCAGAGGCCTTGATGGTACATATCCATGGTTTGATTTCTCCATCATCCCTAACATCAGTTTAAGTTACAGCTATTCTTTCTAAATGTGCATGGCTGAATTTGTGTCCTGTTTTTTGGTGATGAATATCCCCTGTTTTGGAAAGGTCTGGGTGGCCAACCTAATTTCAAATCAGGGGCAGTCCTCTGTTCAAAAGAATCTTCCATTTCAGCCTGGGGCCCTCCAGATGATTTTCACTACATTTCCTATGATCCCTAACTGCAGGCCACATTGGTTGGGTCTAATGGGAACTGTAGTTTAAAGCACCTGGAAAATAGCAGGTTGC